CAACATGGAACTAGGGGAGGTAGAATCTGTCCAATGATTTGGTTGTTGCATTTGGAATACTGCTCTTTCAGAAGAAATGGAGTAAATGCAAGTGCTCTCAGATGCTGTAAATTTTCCTCATAGCTTTTGAAATTTTCATGGCATTGTGTGGCAATACATTAGCTCTTTATGTTTAAAATTATTTTTCCCAATTTCTAAGAGAAAGCTAATTTTAACCAAGGCTCATTAAACAGGAATATATTTGAATTTCAACATTTTTACAGCACATCAAGAAATTAAAATTTAGTTTTCTCTCAGGCTGGAACTTGAACACAGGGTCATGCGATAAATAGCCACTTATGACTGGACTATATCATTAGCCCTCGTGTTTTTGAGACAGGGTTTCCCTATTTAGCTCACGCTGATCTCACTACATCCTCCTTCCCCCTGCTTCTATTTCCTGTTCTGAGATTACATATGAATTACCACAGGGAACTGCAAAGTCTAGCGGTCTCGCAAAGTTTAAGTCCCTTGCTCTTTATCTAGCATCTAGATGGATGTTGTCGCACTTTCATTTTTCAATGCAGTTGCATTATACAATAAATAATCTAATAATGAAGGAGGAGATAGAATAAATATTTTGACAAGTGGTACAATATAATGAGGAACATTTCAAATGAACAAACAATTCAGACCAATTTTAGAAATTTATCCTGAATTGATGAATTGCTTCAGTTGGCATTGCTAAATATCAGTTATTCTGAGGCCCCCAAAGGAAGCAAAGAATACAGTTCAACTTTGTAACCTTTCTTTCCAAGGTCATACAATCACTAGAATTGTTAAAAAAAAATAAATCAGCCATGATTTTGTATTACTGGTGCAATATTAGAAGTAGGAAAATGTTGTAAAATATTTAAGCACACTTGTTTTTACAGGCACTCCAAATAAACATGTTTAAAGTTATGTGCACGAAGAAAAACAATTTCATTTAATTTTCTAAAAATAATAGAAAGTATTAAGGGATACTTGAGATCAATAGTAAACTGTAGGAAAAAGGATTTTACTAAAAAAAAGCAAATGAAAATATCAAGGAAACAAGTATTTATCTTAGAAGGTCTATAAAAGAAATCGCAAAAGCTGCATGATATTTCTGAAAATTACCTGCAAATATAAGATTTTAAAATACAGTAAATTTAATCATGTGAGTTATTTTGTAAGGAAAATTTCTTTTTGAGGACTTATACAATGTAATCTTAAGACTGTACAAACAAGTTGAATTTTTTCAATAATGTGTTTATAAGAATCAAATTTAAGTAATAAAAAATATTATATACATAATCTTCAGATAAAGTATTTAGTGTATTTGTAGGAACTATTGACAAGAGTGATAGATAAAAGGCATCATTTCATACTTGAACAACATAAACTTGATTATTTTTCCTAAATATGTTGGAAAAATTACTTTAAAAATATACTCATTTTACTAAAAAAAGTTGAACCACCTATGTCTATATGATAAATGTAAAATATAAAATTGTGTCAGTGAATTTTGAAACATTAATTGCTGTGCCCCAGGGAACATGTATATGCACACATATATTTGCATTGAAAATGTATTAGCAGGATGTGGGGGAAAAAGGAACCCTCATACACTGCTGGTGGAAATGCAAGTTAGTGCAACCACTCTGGAAAAAAATATGGAGGCTTCTTAAAAATCTAAACATAGATCTGTCATATGACCCAGCAATCCCAGTCCTAGGGAAATACCCAAAGGAATGTGACTCATATTACTCCAGAGGCACCTGCACACCCATTTTTATTGCAGGATTATTCATGATAACTAAGTTATGGAAGCAGCCAAGATGTCTCACTACTGATGACTGGATTAAGAAAATGTGGTATTTATACACAATGGAGTTTTACTCAGCCATGAAAAAGAATGAAATCTTATCATTTGCAGGTAAATGGATGGAACTGGAGAACATCATCCTGAGTGAGGTTAGCCAGGCTCAGAAGACCAAAAATAGTATGTTTTCCCTCATATGCAGACTTTAGATCTAAGGCAAATGCAGCAATGTTGTTGGACTTGGGTCACACGCTAAGGGGAGAGCACATATGGGAGGAATGGGGATAGGTAGGAAACCCAAAACTTGAAAGTGTTTGATGAGCCCACTGAAGAGGAACTAATACAGTAACCTTAAAATAACAAAGGTCAATATGGGACGGTGACTGGGAAGTAGTGAAGAGGTCTGGTAGAGATGAATCAATTTGGGTTGTAACACACTTGTGCATGGATGCAATGCTAGGAATATATCTCTATAGCTACCCTTATCTCAAACTAGCAAAAATTCTTTGTCTTTCTTATTATTGCTTATGTCTTCTCTTCAACAAAATTGGAGAAGAGGGGAGAACAGGTTCTGCCTGGAAGCAAGGGGGTGGGGGAGAGGGAGAGGGCAGGGGCAAGGGGGAGAAATGATCCAAACAATGTATGCACATATGAATAAATGAATTAAAGAAAGAAAATGTGTTTGCAAAATTTTCATTACTATCTGTATATAACAAACTAGTTTGTTATCCCTTATTGAGTGTTTTGGATTTTGCCTAGGTGGCTCCTTCCAAGTGTAATACAAAAAGTAATATAGTCAACAACGGTGATCTGTGATATTGTTTTTATTACATTTTAAAAATTATTAATTTCATAAATGATTAAATGTCATTTGAAATATTTAATGAAAATAGCATGTAGAGATTTAAGTAGGAGATGCTATTAATTCTGATGATCAAGGTTCTTATTTATCCCAACCCCCTTTTTTTTTTCCAAAGACCAATCCATATTTTTATAGATTTTTTCATTTTCTAACTTTCATCACTTCAGAGTACATTTCTACCCAGGAATATATTGTACAAAGAAGTTTTATATGAGCAGTCTACCAAAATTCTTGAGTATGACAAAGAACCAGAAAGATTTAATAACGTGAAGGTCTAGGGGACTAAATTAGGCTCATTTATGTAAGTAACAAAGCATATATGCAAGCACCAAGTAAAGCTAGCATTCAGTAAACACTTTTTAATATTTTTCAGCAACATTGCCAATTACTGCCTGTAATTTTAGAAATCCCTAGCTAATAGCCACATTGAAAAATCCAAATTCCCAGATAAAATAGAGTGGGAGATTGTTAATAAGCTAGTTATTCATAATGATACTTAACTGACACTGGATGCATATACAAGGAAATTTCCATATGTCACTAGACCCAAGTATAGAGCAAGGCTGTTTCACACAGAGATCATGGAGGACTCTTAGCACCAACCCAGCTCTCTGCTGAAATGAAAGAATAGTAGCTAATATAATGTACTTTGGATTTTCTTTTTAATTTTAAATGAAGAAAAATCATTTGAAAGTTGCCTGACAAGTATTTATTTCTTCAGTATTCTTCTCAAGGCACCTATAACCTCTTTGTTCCTCAAGCTATAAATAAAAGGATTTAGCAAGGGAATTATTATTGTGTAAAATAAAGAATACAGTTTTTCCTTATCTTCAGCTGGTCCAGACTCAGGATGAATGTAAATAAGGAAGAGATTTCCATAGAACAAAGAGACAGAGAGCAGATGAGCACTACAGGTGGAGAAGGCTTTGCTTCTGCCCTTCTCAGACTTCTGTTTCAGGATTGCAAACAAGACATGGGTATAAGAGACTACAATGTTCATAAAGGTGAAGGCTTGTATAAAGATTGAAAATATGAGAACCACAAGCATATTAATTGTAGTATCTGTGCAAGAAATTTTGAATACCTGTACAATTTCACAGTAGAAATAATGTATTATATTGGGCCTGCAAAAGGTTAATCTAAATAACAAACCCACATGAACTGTTGAATTCAGAATACCAACACAATATGCAATGCCTATAAACTGAGAACAAAGTCTGTTGGACATCACCACTGGATAAAGCAAGGGATTACATATGGCTACATAGCGGTCATAGGCCATCACTACCAGGAGGAAACATTCTGTTGTTGCACTGTAACAAAAAAAATAAAATTGGGTAAAGCACTCAACCAGGGATATCTCATGATTTTTAGATAAAAAATTGACAAGCATCTTGGGAGTCACAGAGGATGAAGTACATGCATCTGCAAAGGCTAAACTACTGAGGAATAAGTACATGGGGGAGTGAAGGTGGGGCTCTTTCCAGATGAGAGCAATGAGTCCAAGGTTACCCACCATGGTGATGAGATAGATGATAAGGAAAACCAGGAACAGGGGCACTTGCAGCTCTGGATGATCTGTAAGTCCTGTGAGAACAAACACTGTCACCAGAGTCTGATTTTCTTCTGCCATACTTGACACGGCCAATCACTAAGTGAGAGACAAAGTGTACAACCATCATAGTGGTTAAATTTTTTTGTTTAATCCACTCTTATGAGTGTCTTCTCATTTTATTGGTAGCTTAAAATTTTCATCATTATACCTCAATTACAAAAATGTTTTAAAATCTAACATGACATGTAACTATAATTAATGTCCTCTTTAGTCTAAAAAAAGGGTCATATAGATTTGTATACATTCTTCTTACAGTTTCTATAAAGAATGAAGTCACAGGAAAAAATGCTCAACATCCCTGCCCATAAAGGAAATGCAAATCAAAACCACACTATGATTCTACCTCACTCCTGATAGAATAGCTACCATCAAGAACACAACAACAAATTTTGGTGAGGATGTGGGAAAAAAGGAACTCTCATATACTGCTGGTGGGAATATAAACTAGTGCAACCACTATAGCAAAAAGTATGGAGGCTCCTTAAAAAAACTAAAAATAGAACTGCCATATGAACCAGCCATACCACTGCTAAGGATATTCCTGAAGGAATATGAGTCAGCTTACAACAAAGGCACCTGCATACCCATGTTTATTGAAACACTATTTACAATAACTAAGCTATGCAAACAGCCAGGATGCCCCACTACTGATGAATGGATTTAAAAAATGTGGTATTTGTATATAATGGAATTTTACTCAACCACAAAGAAGAATGAAATTTTGTCATTTGCAGATAAATGGATGGAACTGTAGAACATCATCTTAATGAAGTTAGCCAGGCTCTGAAGGCCAAAAGCTGCATGTTCTCTCTTACATGTTTAATATAGATCTATTACAATGCAGCATTAAGAATTAATTAAGAATAAGAATTGTCAAGACCACCTCAATAGATATTGAACTACAATTTACAGACTTAATGCACAAATTATCAGCATAAGATTAGACAAGAGAATCAGTGCAATAGACCAGAAAGCTCGGAAATAGACTCTAATGTAATTCAGGAATTAATAATGAGCAAACAACATATTTCAGTATAGTAGGAAAGGGTGACTGGTTTAATGAAATGTTATGACACTGTTGGCTTTACATCTGGAAATAAAATTGAATTCCTGCTTCACACCATAGATGTTTCATATGAAATTTAAGAGACAATAGAACATAGAGATAGGGAAACCTTATCCAAGAGAAAAAAGCCAATATAAAAAATAACTACTATTACATAATTTAAATGTATAAAAGAAAATCATAAAGATAAAAAGGCATATAATAAATTAAATATATTTTCTGTGGATATAAATGACAATGGCTTATAGCCAACAGAAATCTATTAAAATATATAAGAAATAGGCAAACTAAAAGAAAAATGAGTAAACAATATAAACAATAAAATTTATAGGTGAACAAATAAAAATGTCCAATAAACACAATGAAAGACGATCAGCTTTCCATATATTATAGAAACATACAGAGAGAGATACTTCTCTTTCGTGTAGATTATCAGAAGAATTTAAAAAGTATAAACTACCTCACTGACAATATACATGAGGAAACATATATAAATACATATATATATATATATATATATATATGTTTATATATAAAACATATATTTCATTTGTGGAAATATTATTTGCCACAATATTTTTGAAAGCAATTTCATAAGATACCATTAATTTTAAAAAAAACACATGCCCTCCAAATTATTATTTTCTTTTATATATACTCTAAAAATAAAATCACTGCTACATAAAAATAGATATACTCAGACTTTCCAATGCATTGTTGGTCTAGGTGGGAAGGATGAGACACAGCTACAGTGAATTTCTATGCAGAAAAATGTTGGTAATGTACACTAAAATTCATAATACTGATAGTAAAGAATGCGGTTTGTGGGTGAGAGATTAATCAAAATACATTCCACAAGGAAAAGATCATGCAAAATACATTTACTTTTATATAAATTCATGTTATATATAAATATGAATATATACATACAGGATCTGTGAAGACATGGTCTCTTAACATGCTAAGAGTGGATAATAGAAACAAGAACAATGAAATCTTGTTGCTGTCTTTTTAAGGAAAGGTTTTGGCACTACAAATTACAACGTAAAATTAGAAAGTAATTGCTTTTAAATTCTTCTATCTAGATATCAATTAAATTCAGAAATAATCCTCAAGAAGAATTAGCATTTTTGGTTAGATATTTTTGGTGGGGACCACTTTTGAGCACATAGAATAGATGTTTGTTTCTAATATTTCAGTGTTATACATACTTTTATAAGATAGAGAATCAATTAGTATGACAGGATTTTTTAGAGAATTAAAATTTTTATTCAATGATGTTCTTCTTTAAATATATTGCTGTGTAGTTTATTCATTGTCTCTGTAATGAACAGACCTCTTAGTGTATGCATCAACTGAAAGGTTTTCACGATTTGTAAGTAGTCTCTGAAAGAACTCCATAAAGAAGTTTTCTGATGAATACTTTTAAGGAAGAATAAATGCAGGAATACAGGTTATTATGATATTTCCACACACTAATAAACATTTTCATAATTTTATAGTATTAATTCTTGATAACTATACAATATAAAATTGTGCTTTGAGAAAACTCAGGAAAGCATATTCATCTAAGTTTAAAATACCAATAAAAACTACATTTGTAAGAATACATGACCAGCATAGTAAGTGATTGAGATTTTCTTTTATTTTTACTGAAAACAAGTGAAAAATGAGAGCATTTTTGCTCTGTTACTTTTAAATATATATTAAGAGCCAAGTTGCAAAAAAGAGAGCAGTATTAGTTGCAAATTAAAACTCATCAGATATGGATGAGTTTTTAACATGGATAAACTGGCCTATATTTCTTTATCACCTCAACAAAGTTATTGATATTTCTACTTTCATATCTTACCATGTGTAAGTTAGGTAAAAATTAGTAAGCTTTGTGAATTTGCAACCCAAGAATTTTATCACAACAGAAACCAAAGAAGGCTATGGAAATTATTCTCTGTGATTTCTATCCCACATTCTCATGATTTCATGAAATTAAAGAATTTTTATGGCATTAAACTACATAAACTTTAAGCTAGAATTTGTTATTCTGAAAAATTACAAATAAGTAATATTCGAACAGTGGAACTTAGGTCTCAGTAAAAAAAAATTTCACAATATAAAATAATTCCTGAAATTGTCTTATTATTACTTGACTTTTCCATTTTTCATTCTACTATTAATCAATAGAAAATTTCCTAAAAGCTGTGTTACTGAAAAACACTAACTGAAATTACCTTTAAGCGGGGTATTGGCTTCTGTCTGACCAGACTTCATAGACTGACTTTCAGCAAAATCTTGCCTAGGATTTTAATCTTTTACAAAAATACCCTGTTCTCTTACAGACAAACTGTAGTACTATAACAATGAAAATTACAAAATCCTCTGTACTTTCACCTACTTTCTGTAAACCATTTGAAAACTGGAAATGTGCTCATTTTCTGTAAGCAAAGTGAAAGTTATAGAAATAAGCAGTATTATTTATATACCAATTTTCCTCAGAAACTCCAAACTGAAGGGAGATGCCATTTATCTCTTCTACTGCAAACTCATTCTTTAAAAAATGTTAGAATTCCCTGAATATTTTTAAGAGATTCCCAATAGGATGAAGACAAAGATGTTCTACTGGGCATTGTCAACCAATCATCAAACCATACACACAGCTATTTGCAGTAATTGAAAGTGCACATTATGTCCTCAGGGTGTACTTTAGATTTTTCTTTATAAAATATTGTTGAACAGAGTTTAAATGAGCTTGTTTTTCTTCTTGCTATTTTCCTTAATTGCATACAACCAAACTACTTAATTATCTTGATAATCAATCACAAAGGTAACTTACAGGTAATATGCTCAATCTGAGATTAAGGTCTTTCTCACTCCATTCCAAAACTTCTGTTCTCACTCCTCCAGTGTTCCTGTCCCAGAAACAGTGTCACCAAAAAGTAGAAGTGCAAACCATAAACCAGGGACACATCCATGATACTGACATTAATTATTAAACTACTGTCAGCTCCTCTAGATTTTACCTGCTAAATCTGTATTAGATCCAGAAATGTCTTGCTTTTATTCAGAGTTGAACTAAAAATCCCAGAATTATTTATCTCTTGCATAGACTTATAATATACCCTCCCTAAAAACAATATCTATATCTGCTAACAGTCTTCCAATTCATTTCTACACTGACACCAGACTCCTCTTCCTATAACACACACCTTTTCACCACCACCCCATTCACACACTCTCCCCATTTAAAAATATAATTAATTTCTCATTGTAACTAAAATAATTTAAACTTTTTATTCTTGTATACTGAGAAAAAGATAGTAACTGAGCATGGTTAAAATGTTCTTCTCAGGAGGATTCCAAGATGGCAGCTAGAGGAAGAAAGCAGAAAGCGAGCCTCAATAGTGAAATTTTGGAGAGATGCTGGAGACACACTTTGCACCATAATCACTGAGAAGAGGCAGAACTTTGACACCTCCACACCTCCAGCCGGCGCAGAGAATCTCCACTTCACATTAAACAGAGAAACCAGGAGGGCCCCGAGGTTGCCAGTTGCTGGCGCCCAGACAGCTTGGGAAGACACAGACCAGGTGAGCTTTGCGGTAACACACTACTCCCACAGACAAGCCTGGGCCAGAGCAGCATAGCCGCCTGGACAGACTGACCCCCACCTGGGGAAAAAAGAGAAACTGAGTAATAAGCAATAAGAACAATAAAGACACATGGGAAAGAGGGTGGGGCGACCTGAGCACTGAAGATTGGGGAAAGGGAATCCTTCCCAGGACTGTAAATAAACAACCCAGGCGGGCCGGAGTGGCTCTGGTGGGAGCGGGGGCACGCACCCAGCAACCAGGAGCGGGAAAACTTGTGAGAGTGGCGGAGGGAGGAAAACTCCACAGGAGAGGAGAGAAGACCCACTTCTTCCCACGTGAACTGTAAACAAACATGGTGGCTGAAA